TAACACTATCGGGACTAGTAATCTGTCACCAAAAACACCATACCACACATTCACCGAAAACCCTTGCTAGAACCGAGATCTCTGTATAACGTGAGGATTTGCATAACATCAATAGTGAATGTTATGAAAACTTAATATGCCGTCTCTAATAAAACAACATTTATCCGTAAAAATCACCCTTGCTTGTAAAATCCGGATCTTGTGCTATTTGATGTCTAAACCAGTGTCAAAATTCCACACGGGGTTGAAAATCATTGTTATTTAATGCGTGAACACTTTGTACATGATGGGATTGTAATAGTTGTTCCCGTAGTACACGCCTTACGGTAATGTTAGATACACCCACTTATCGGCCAATGTCGCTCGTACTGCGCCTCAGATCTTCCTCAAAGAGGCTTATAATGTTTTCTTCGTTGTCAAAAACGTGTTGCGGTCTTTCCCATCCACGACATTCATATGTCAGGTGGAAATTCTCGGTATCCCTTAACCTTTGAACCACCTTTTGCACTGGTAGATTTTCGTCTGTTACGGTAACGGACCGCATAAAAACGACAAGTCTCATTTAAATTGTACTGACTTTCTCCGTATATTAATACCATATCTGCTACTTCTTGATCAGTAATACTAAGTAATACTGTACCACACAACTAAAAAACACTACTGACTGCTCATATTTGCTTGATTGTGGAAATCACGTGGAACGTCAGCCAATTAGAGAAGCGCTTTACGCATGTAGCAAGTCCGAAGTATTCTGGTCGTGCACGTGCACAAGATGCACAGGGTCGGCTTACATTTATGGTTAATTTTCTTAATTCATTTTCTCGAAAACAAAAGCATTTAGACCATCAGTCGTTTAATAAAAGTAGTTAATTTTCGTGCCTTATTTAACGCACTTATTTCATAAACACCCTGTATATCTAGTGGGCCAAGCCGATGAATGACATTGCTATTAAAAATCAATGCCGCTCGGCGCATGGTATATAGGTGTTTCTCGAAATATCATCAATTATCTACAGGGTGTTTTCTACGAAGATATGATTTCGTCATTTAATATTAGAAACAACATTTTTTTAAACTTTCGTTTTTATTACGTTTATTAATATTGCACATATTGTAGTTGAAATTAAAATTGTGCTGAAGTAGATACAGTGCACTTATCACGGATGAAATGAATAAAAATGCTCATATTTTGAGAGGATTTTTACAAAAAGGGTAATAGTTTACTTTTCTTAATAATAGCAACTAAATCTACCAATGTAGTATATAAAACATACTTCAATAACCTTTTATCAGTTAATTGACAACAAAGTATATTTGAAATTTTTCTTCCTTTTCGAAAAATTAGATGAATTGTGCTAATTCTTTTAAACCATAATACCTTATTTATTTTGAAGTAACTAATGACTCTCAGTAATAAAACTTGTTTTTTCCCCATCGCTTACAAAATTTGTATATGGCTATAAAATTTAATTTTAAATTACTTTTCATTTCACGTGTCTTATATATTACTTTATTATTTTTTTAATATCCGCCACATCCCCAAAATATAACAATATTGTTTTTATTTTTTTTTTGGAGTAATGCAAAATGTTTAGTATGTGAAACCAATTTTTTATCTGCCATCATGGAAAGATTTACAGCTGAATTCTTGACTAGGTACTACGAGTAGAATTCATACAAAAACATGAGAAATAACATGAGTTTTTATTTCCATTTTTACAAAACATGTACTTTGAAAGAAATTTTGTTTTATTTAGAAAAATTATATAATAGTTTTTGTATCATTAACTTCATAAATGACTGAAGTCGTGACAGTAAATTACATTCACTATGACAAGGTGCTGAATAGAGCTCGGCGCCAATAGTCTGTAAAGTTTAGTTCAAGTACTGCGTCGGTCGATTCATATCCTCACTCAGTTACGTGTGAAATTGTGTGTAAACACTCTAGGTTCAATTGGTTTCAACAAATCGAAAGCCAGATTGCACTTACAGAGTGGATTAATTTTTGTTCTGTATTAACTTACAATTCAATTTCACATTGTTCGACATTAAAACTAAAGATAAAAAACAATAAAGTGTAAAATATGTAGTTTCCCATTTATTAATTAAGTAATTAAATTACAAATTAATTTTTTTTACAAAAAATTCTTAATATTTGTGCAAAAGAATGTCGTGTTATTGAATAAAATAATCTGATTCGCTTAGTAGGTAGATAGATACGTAGTATTTTTTTTAATAATCGAGTCCCAAATAGCGAAAATATACAGTGTCACACTGGGAATCAATGAGAGTAACATAGGAAGTACACTTAGGAAAAATCTGAAAATTTTGTTGGTATAGTCTGTTCGAAGTCAGTTGAACATGTAAAAACGCCTGGTAATAAATTTTAATGATTTTCATAGGCATCCCTAAACAAATTTTCTGCTAAAGGTAAAACATTATAATAATTTGTATATAACGTATAGAAAATGTCTATTATAATATGTTCATTTGGCCAACAACATATTTTAATTATTTATGCACTCGAACAATTTTATTACATTGATGATTCATGGTAAATTTCATTTTGTTCCGTTTCAAAAGGTCTCCAAAATGCCATGTTGTAATAATATTATTTCTCCCTTTCGTAATTGTAATATCAATGATTAATAGAAGGTGCCTATAATAAATTAAAATTACCTGAATCACTTCAAATTCCGCATTGCTGCACTGCAATTTGTCAACCACTTGTCAACAGCTGAGATTGATTGCCCAAAGACCCAATGCAGCTGTGTTTGTATTACGTTTGCCCGCGCCCGCATTCTTCAACTGGGCGTATACATTTCTTACCGCCTCCACGTTTAGTTCAACCAGACTTGTATATGGGTATGGCTAAATAAATATGGCAACAAGTTTTTCAAATATTTCAATGCCGAGTTACTGCGTCAGCGACCGAACCTGGTACATACTGTCAACCTCTTGGTTCTTCAATTGATATCGGAAAGACTATAACTAGTGTGAGGGTTTACCCTGGGAACTGAAGTAATCACCATCGACACCAAAAACCTAATCTAGAGAGTTGAGAAAGAGGTGATGTCTGAGAATCGAACATCTAACATAGCCAAAGAACTGCATAAGAACCTCATAAGTGATTCGAACATCCATCCGTACAACTTCACAAAGGCCCACAAGTGTAACATACCGCTCCGATTAATAGTGAGTGCAGTTGGATCAGCGACTCACCTATTCATCCAGTACGTGTCATATAAAATTAAAAGTTAACGTTTCGAAAATCAATCTGTTTGCGTCTTCTGAACTTTTCTTTTTTTAATTAATTATTTCTGACAGATTTAATGTACGATGACTTTTCAAATGTTATGTCGTGGTCTATACAGGGTGATTCACATCTTATCCAAAAAAATTAGAAATAGATGCGGCCTGAGAAATGGAGTCAATATCTTAAAACAATTTTGTATAAAATCCTTATAGTTTCCGAGAAAATAATTATTATTGAAGTTGTAGTACATTCAATCATTACATAGCTGGACAACTGTAGTCTCTAGCGTCATTCGCAATACGCGTGGAGAGCCACGTGGCCTCAGCGACTCCGAATACTGAAATACGATTTTACAATCGTTGTTGCGTTAGTGTTTACCTGTGGTGTTTACAATAGATTTTTAGTAGTTAGTGTCAGAAATGGCTTGCGTGTATAGCAAGTTGATGGATATCGTTTTAATTTGTGGTGAAGCATTTTGTATTATGGTGAAGCATTTGTGTTATGTTGAAGTAAGATATGTGTGTTAGTTCGTAGAAACTGAGTAAGACGGACGCAAATGTGTTTACACGTCGGTGCATACAATTTTAAACAGTTGTTGTAACATTAGGTAAGTATATCAAATTATTTTATTATTTAAAACCACAAATTACCTAATTTTATTAATTATTATAACAATATCGGTAAAAGCAGTTGAATTCGCTGATATAAAATAGGTGCTATAAAATTCTATTTATTTCTTTCCTTGCGAAAGTTTTTGTTTGTTTTTATCACACTTTGCCGCCATGTCGGTCGCATTGTGCGAGGTAAGGTTAAAACCTTACCAGTGGACCAGTTTACAGTGCCGCATGCCGTGCAGAAGTGTATTTTTAAATCATTTTCGAACTGCCCTTTTTGATTTTTTTACAAAATTGTATTTGTAATAGTCCCCTGTATATCCAAAATTTTTTTTGGATATGTTCTGAATCACCCTGTATACCCGATTGCTGCCAGTTACAGAATTACCTTTCACTTCTTTAGCATTACTAGACATTTTTGACATTCACTTTTTCGGACTAGGCTCTGTGGGGGCCGACCCGCTATTAGAACCCCTGATTTTCATTTCGGAATTTGAAAAAATAAACTATTGATACGTGCTTGTAAAGGTCAAAGGTAGCATGCGTATAAGTATGACCCCCATTGAAAGTCACAGCCTGTTTTGCTAAATAAATCATAGTAGTCTACTAATAGTGAAATTTCTTACTGACTAGTACATTCGTACACCATTATGCTTCATTTTAATGGAAATAAAGGATGTTTCAGAAGAAAATAGTTTCCATAGAAAGTTTACCAAATAAATACGTAGAAATGAATACAATTCAAAGTTGCCGAAGATCCAAAGAATACAGATCAGGTGTTTAGAAAAAAGGTAATTTCAGTTGCATTCTTAAGCATTTAGATTACCAAAAACATTACTGTAGGATATAGTTTTCTCTACGAGATTTGTTAATAATACTTTTCTCGGAACATACTTACATCTAAAAGAATCTACATAAATTCTGGAAGTAAAATATAATCAATAAAAATGTTATAAATTAATTAATGTTTATTAACATTGCATTGACAAAATATTGATATAAGTATGAGAAATTAAGTGAGAACCTATAAGATAGAAGAAGATTTCTTAAATAGATATGTTATACTTAGATATGTTAGAAAATATATAATTAACAATGACCACAATTTATAATTAACTGTATTTATTACAAATTTTAGATATTTAATTCATAATCAGAAGTTGTTGATAAATAATTAATATAAAAGTTATTGGTAAACTGCTTCATTGCCTATCGGTGTCAATAAAAGTGGCTATCCATTTTTGTGTTTATTAATTCGTATAGTTCTGTAATTGGTCAATCCGTTCTTCGTAAATGATTCAGAATTTGTAATTCTTGGCTTCTTGTTATATGTGTCTTTGTAAAACTCTGAGAAAAGTAAAAGGAATATAATGGCATTAACCATAACAACGCTAATCGAAATACGGGGGTAATCACAGTTCGAGACAAAGAGTTGCAAAGAATGGACCATAAAAGCAATAAATTGAATCTAGAAACAAAAAGTAAGTATTAGATTTTTACAAAATATATTATCTACCTTTTCTAATGGCAGAGTGTCGTAGTTAACAATGAAGTTCCTATGTCCGCAAATGTTTAATTCATTAGAACAGGGTGTTAAAGGAAAAGTATGATTTATTTCGAATTACAAAAATATTTTAATGCAGTCTTGTAACATGATAATATTCCGTACTACTACATATTGCCTGTTTAATGGCTAGGGATCGTCAAAGTTGACAAACATTTTTTTATTTTTCCAAGTAATTACCATTATCTTTTCTTAAATTAATATTTTCATATTATTTTGTGAGTGATTTTTAAGATCAAGTCTTCTTTTATGAGGCTATTGATTATGTGTTTAAAAGCAGGGTACTAAGGAACTACAACGTTGATAGGTTTTTATTGCATGAGTCGTTCAAATGGTTATTCAGAAAGAAAAAACCGCGGAGTGCTATTAAATTATAGGGTGGAAGTTGGAGATAGGGGTGAAAATGCACCCCTTTCAGTTTTTTAATTGTAGCTCGAAAACGAAGCAAAATTTCGCTGTACTTCATAGGAAAAATTATTTAGAGAATTGAACTTCCCATCGAAATAGCTTATTTAAAAAATTTAAAAGGAAAGTTTTATGCAAAGTAATCGTTAATAAACAATTTAAAAAAAAGCAAAAAATTGGATTTTTTTTTACTTTTTTGCCTGTAGTTTTTTTTTGAGTAAAAATAGGTATAGGCATTGCTTCATAGAAAAAAAGTAGATAAAATTTCTTCAAAACAAGAGGTTGTAGAGTATTTTTGGATGAAAATTGACTGATAGCTCAAACTTAGCAATTTTTTCGATTTTCGTTGCGTTTACCCTTATGCGTTTTAATTATCATTTTTTGCAAAGTTAAAATATGGAATTTTTTAGTAATTAGTCATCGCGATTTACTTCTATAATAAAATTTGTCTGTAAAAAATTAAAATATAAAACAATTCTTTATTTGAAAGAAAAATAGAGTGAAGAACGATCCTACTTTATAACATGCCTTATAAATTTGCATATTGAAAGACGATTTTTTTGAGATTTTTCCGAAAAAAAACGCCCCTTATTTAAAAAAAAACACTTTTGGTTTAAAAATAAAAAAACAAGTCAAAAAACTAAAAATGTATTTTTTATATATTTTTTATAATACTACATCTCAAAACGAACAAAATGGAAAAAAGTAGTTTATAAGTAGATATATGAGGCGGTTTCTGGACCAGGAAGTGACGTGGCAAGGTCACCAGTGGTCAAGGTCACCCCAAGGTCACCAGGGGTCAAGGTCACNGAACACTGACTATGTGGTGACCTTGACCCCAGGTGACCTTGGGGTGACCTTGACCCCAGGTGACCTTGGGGTGACCTTGACCCCAGGTGACCTTGACCTCAGGTGACCTTGACCCCTGGTGACCTTGGGGTGACCTTGACCCCAGGTGACCTTGACCCCTGGTGACCTTGGGGTGACCTTGACCACTGGTGACCTTGCCACGTCACTTCCTGGTCCAGAAACCGCCTCATATATCTACTTTTATATCTTTAGTTTTTGCCAAATACCTATAGTATTTGAAAATTTTTTACTCAAAATATTCAAATGCTTCTTGAGGGGTTGCAATTAAATTTAAAAAAAATTAAAGCTAAATCTGGAAAATTAAAAATGGTCCCGTCACGACCTCATTGACTTGGCATAGAATGTTCCATATTTTAAAATCTATTAGGGTGTACAATGGAGTTTATCATTTAACTCAAAAGTATATTTTACATATTTGTAGGTATGTCCTTTATATCTGAATTAGCTTGAATTGAATTTGCCCGTCAAATACAAATATATATATATATACACTACATTATTTGATAGCAAATCAAATTATAGCCCTGAAAATTTTGAAAACTGAATATTTCCAACAGCATAGTGAACAGTTTTTAAGAATGAAAAACCTGAATACTGTAAAGTACGAAATTTCATTGTCTTAGGCCTACTTTGATTTAAGTTATTTCGCTAGTAAAATGCCATTTCTAAACGACATGCGATATAATTCGGGAAATAGCTGTAAAACTCATCAAAAGTATTCATTTTTTTGTAATTTATTTTTTTAAGGTCACATAATTTTTAAAAATTGTAAAATTTTTTACCCGAAACTGAAGCATAAGTCCAAAGGCTTAATTAAGTTTATTAATAAGCAAGAAGCATATAAATTCGAACTAGTATTTATTCTAACACAAAGTTTTAAGATAATTAATAAGAATAATTCCATTAAACATTTTTTGCATACGTTATTTTGGTATTCCTTTAATTCAGTTTGTTAATGTTATTTTAATGGGTACAAAATACCGAACAAAAGTGTGAGTTTTCGAAAAAAAATAGGAAAAAATTGTTGCCTTTTATGAGGTTGTCGTAAAAATGTTTGCACTTATTTTTGGAACCACTTGTACATTATTACCTAAAATTTCTCAGGAGGAGAAGTTGAGAATGTTTACAAAATTTTAATGTCCTAGGCTCACTTTGATATTTTGCTTGATTTTAAATTTTTCTCAAAGAAGACATAGGACAGTCAAAATTTGCAAATTAGTTTCTCAATCTGAGAAATTTTTCATAATAGAACTTTGCCATCTGTCTCATACAGGGAGGCAGTTTACGTGCACAAAATTAGATTTTTCTAAATTTCCAAGGCTTACTGGATTTTATGGATTTGAAATCATCAGATTTTGCTTTACAAATAAGCAGAGTTGAATTTCAAAAGGCCATTTTTCCACACCATCACAATTTGCATAAGTGTCGTTTCACTTATCTGGGTACACACTGTATATATTTGGATTTCAAAAAATAACAGAGCAAGCAGTGGGGAAATTTTTCCGTAATCGTTCTGTAAATCAAACGTCATTCAATATTATTTATACATACCATTTGCATTGTAGTAATGTACTTTTTCCACCACAAATATTTTTGTACTTTAGGACCTAGAGCAGCTAGGAAATAATAAGAATACATTACCACATGTACAAACGTGTTCAGAAAACAGCAAAATGTACCATGGCCACCTAAAATATTAAACATAAGTGAATTTTTTAAGACAAATGTCAGATACAAAACGTTCTTGCATAAGTACTGATAAGTTGAATCAACCATAAAAATTTGTGGTTTGTATAAGATGATTGGCATATTTAAAGCTCAGTTAATAGTTGTAATTTATTATACAAGTGTCTTTTTGGGCACATAAACTTTATCCGCAACCAACGAAAGAAAGTACTCAAATAAAAAGTATGTCTTGGATTAGTTATGGTGAATTGTTTATTTATTGTTACTATCTCGAAATATGGTACATTATTGGATTTTTGGAAAAATGAGTCCGGAACCAATAAACTAATCAAAAATGTCTAGTATTCCCGAACAAGAATACATCAATCAATTACTTTTGAGGGACGTTTCCGACGAAAAATATTTATTGAACTGTTGTCATTTTTATAAATGGATAGATACCTAGTAACTTTGAATATCTTTTTTAATCCAATAAAGTTGTTCTCGGCTTATAGGGGCTGCAAAAAAAATTCCAAACGGGATGATTTTTTCAAGGTTGCCTGAGTATCTATCCAACCAAAAGGTCACACTCGAACTCCTGGTATGATTTGCGCTATGGGAGTGGTTTCCTAAACATTCTTTTTAGAGCAAAATCTTAATAAAAGTTGCAGTGGTGGTCTTGTAAACATATTTTTGCAGAACCAAAAAAGTGCTAGCTCCAGCAGAGCTCCTAAATCTTATTTCATACCAATGCCTCACTTTCCAAATTTTCGCAGCATAATCTGTTTCATGCAGTGTAGCCTTCGTCGCCCCAAACCGATGCCGCCATCAAAGACCATCAAGACGAAGATGTTTCCAAGTTTTCCATCGTCCCGCCCAAAAACCGTTCCAGGTGGCTCAAATCGCCCCATTGCAGCAACCCTTATCCACGACAACACAATTTGCGTGCCGATTTCAGAAATTTCAAAAATTTCCGAATATTACGAAATTCGGACCTAATCAACACCCTGCCAATTATTTTTTGAGACGATCCAGGAAGGTTCCACATTTCGCAGAGGCCATAAACCAGAGAAATAAAGAGCAACCCGCCACCCATTGGACGCCGGACACCAAATCCAGAAGTGACCGAACGTCGACTTTGGGCATTTGCGCTCCTTTAAGCAGGAGACGGATGCCTGCCCATAGTGTGTAATCGGCCTTTTTACATTTGTCATTAACGCTCTATAAAATTACTTACTGTATAATCCTATACGTGCACATTGTTATTTATTTAGAACGAAGGAAATAATACTTAAATAATAAAAATTTTCGTTAAAAGGTTTATAAAGTTAGATTCTCTTTAAAAAATCAACAGCCAATTTAGATTTCTTACAAAAATCGCATCCTCGAGCCCATTAGCTCTTCAAAGATTGTCGTATAGGTCCGTCCTTGCCTACAACGAAGACCCCTACGGGTAACCAGCTCACTACTGTCAATCACTTGACCTCCTACAAGGCGCAGTTCCTAAGCTTCTATAACTTGCAGGTTCCAATCAGGGACATCAGAATCAGTGCCCAGACACCACAAAACTATAGAATCCTCGAAGTGTTGAGAAATCTTAATATTTCATAGTATCAGTGCAAAACACTATTAGTCGAAACCCTTCAAACTTGGATTTACATAGAGGGTCAGTTGAAACCCTACTTGAACTAAAACAGTAAGTGAAATGCAACACTTGTTTCTTGGATTACAAATGAGATTGTGGACTCTTCCTTAGCAGCGAACAAATCGTCGTTTATGGAGAAACAACGCAGGTCTAAGAGACATTCACCCCTGGCTGCCCCGAAGGGTAATGTCACGGAGGAGGCGCACGAGCCAACTGGAAACCCCCTTATCGACGAGCACGCGAATAACCACCCAGCACCGCTGATAAAAGAGGATTAAACCAAGTCGATCCATCCGACACCATCCAGATGCGAAACGAAGATCGTGAGAGGCTATCACCGGTGCCCCATAGATTACGCAGTCGAGATCTCATATCTCGTATGATATTTACTAGGTAACCTGGCAACTATCGAGAACCGTTGATTGAAATATTTCAGACAACATGAGAAATAAATGTTAGTATTCGAGTACTTTCTATCTATCTCTCTATAGCTAAGAACTATTAATATAATTTATAAATAATATTTGAACTTACCAGGTGAGAACGTAGTGCCAAACCAAGACGAAAGAGGTACCAAACTGTGGTGAATTACGTGCAGCTTTGTTATTTGATTGTCTTTCTTTCTTAGAACGAAAAATATCTGAAAGTAAAATGTGAGACAATTATTATTATCTCATATCTAAACGCTAAATTAGGTTTAAGAGAAATGATTTATGAGATCAGACCAAATTGAGTTCAATTCATTTAACATATTATAAATGTTGATTGTTCAATAGCCAAGTTGTGTTCAGTTAATAGTTAACAATTTTGCAAAGTTGTTTTAAAACTGCAAGTGGTATAATTTATTTTAATTTCTGCTCTGTGTTAAAAGGTTTTATATTTCGCAGATCGCTAGTGTGTGCGAGCTAACTACGACTAGGGCTTGCAATTGCATACGAACTGTTGGCGATATGTTTGTCGGTTCATATGTCAACCTAAACTGAATAAAAATCTGTGGACCCTACCGGGGTTTCGCCTCTACACTCTAAGATTTCATTGCATTCATAATAAAAAATGGTATGTGCAATTCGTGCGGTTTTCTATTGCTCACTTGAGCGGATGAGCTCAAGTGAGCAATATACAATTTTACCGCACTTATAGCACAATATACTATTTGGGGTGTGTATTTAAATTTTGCGTATTTTATTGTCAATTCGTGGGCGACAAGTGTGATTACCGCATGTAAATAAATAGAGTAGGCAAACAGCTTTTTACCGACCTATAAAACAAGCGAAAAGACAGGACGTATCTTTCATGAGTAATAAAAATAAATATAATTCGTTGTCCAAAAAATAAGGTGAATTTGAAAAATCTTCATGTATGCTTTCAAATCAATTTAGTCGCCTTCAAAGTAATTCCCACCACAATGCACTTATGCCAAAGTTTTTTCCAACTCTTGAAACAGTCCGAAAAGTTCTTTTGTTCAATGATTTCATCGATTCGGCTTTTATTTCCTCGATGGAATCAAAACAGTGTCCACGGAGTGGTCTTTTGAGTTTAGAGAATGCGGTGGTTGCGAATTATCAATACTGTGTGAGGCGGTGCATTATCATGATTCAAAAACCAAGAAATGTCTGTCCATAATTCCGGCCTTTTGCGACGAATAACATCACGCAAGCGATGCATAAGGGAAGAAATTCATAGTCTACAACGCTACGATAATCAAAGAAAACTGTTAACATGACTGATTTTTGAGTGACTGGCGTGGTTTTTCGGTCTTGGTTCAACTTTTGCACGACATTCACTCTATTGATCGACTGTTTTCGGGTTGTAAGCGTAGATCCAAGTCTCATGCGTTTTACGATATCTTGGTAGTCAGAAATCATTATTTCACAGATGTCAACGCGATGCTGGTTTTCCAAAAAGTTGAGCATTTTTCGAACCAAACGAGATTTAACGCATCAAAGGCACAACAAATCTTATGAAATGGTATTTTCCGAACCTTTTGAAATACCAACAGTATCAGCAAGGTCTCTTATTTATTGTTAATCGACGGTTTTCGAGCACAATATCTTTGATTTCATTAACGTATTGATCATCAGTTGACTTTGATGGTCGTCCGGGACGGTGTTCGTCCTTAACCCTTAACGCTTTCTTTGCCTTCTTAAAGTCTTTGTACCCCTTGTAAATTTTTTTTGTGAAATAATCTTATCACTAAAGGCCTTCTGTAACATCCTCAACGTTTCCACGGCAGAATATTCATTCCGCAAACAAAATTTAATGCAAATTCTTTGTTCAACAAAATCAGACATAGTGAAAATCGATAAACTCACTTTCGTATGTTTACAAAAACACGAGTAGCTCTGCAGCAATTATATTGACTTGAAACTCTGCATATATATATATATACTACCAACCTACAAAAAAAAATAATAGTATTCTTTTATAATACCCGCTAAATTTAAATAAGTAGGTAATTCACCTTATTTTTTGGATACAGAAAGATATAAATGTATATTGAAATATTGATTGATTGATTGAATAAACTGATGTTTTTTTTGAGATATTGCGATGTTTTCAAAACGAACTCTCTCAGCAGTAGTACTCAAATTATCCTTTATCTAAACCTGTGGTTATATAAAAATAAAATAATACTTATCTATAATAAGATGCAAGATGATGGAATAGGATATCATCCAGATTAGGTAAAATATATGTTTTCTACAAATGTTTTCAAAAGCTACAATTATTTCACTGTTCGGTAAAATATGTCCCTGCAAGATATGCAGCCCTGTATAAGACCCCAAACCGAAAGACCAAATTTGTTTTCGTATTAGTTGAGAGATTGCATTATATACATATCATAAACACATACGGTCCACTTTTTGTATCTTAACCAATATAACAATCAAGAAGTAAACTACTGATATTTTTATTTCTGAGTGCCAATCCCGAGAGAAGACAAAATAAGAGCCAACAGATTTACCTAGAGAAAATAATTTTCTGTTTTCTGAAAGTACAAGCTTGCTTTTAAGTGAAAGAGGCATCGAGCGTTCGTTGACCTTGAAACATAATTGAATATTGATTAACATATGCTTATTTCCTACATATAGGCATACTGAAAAAAAACTTACTGTATCAAGAAAATCAATATATTTTGATATATAGAACCACCAGCATGCTGCAGCCATCTAAAAAATAACTGTATTAGCAAGCTAGATAAAGATATCCATGAAGAATACCCTAAGAGCTCTGGGATTGTCTGTATAATCCATTGGCTGACATTTATAACTCCAGTCTTTTGTTAACCATCCACTAACTGCGAACTGAAAAATAGAAATAATTACAAAAATTTCAACAATTTCTGTAATTTTCACCTCATAGAACAGCCATCCATTAAATATTACTTGAAATAAGTTAAATATTATTAGAATCCGTTTTAGTTCAAACGGTTTCCTATTTTCCATTAAACGGGGTCCTAAAACCTGAAAATATTAGAAAACGACTTTAGCTACTCTTAAGAACTCACGAGGATTGAAGGTGTTTAATTAGAAATTTACTTTTGAAAATTGACTTTGTATAAAATTTTCTACAAAATGAACTGTCAGTTTTGTTGGAAAATGTTGTGGCAATCTGGCTACTACATGACGGTGCACCGCCTCATTATAGTTTAACGGTGAGAGAGCACCTCAATGAAATTTTCCCTGAGAGGTGGATAAGGCGTGGTGGATTCATGCTGCAAGATCGCCCGACTTGAATCCGATCGACTTTTTCCTTTGGGGCTATGTTAAGTGACTGGTACACAGAAGGCCTGTGAATAACGTGAGTTGAGGCAAGAATTATTGACAATTTGCAATAATAAGAGCAAAAGAGGGCATATTCTTCAGAGTTCGTCGCAATTTTCTGAGAAGAATGAATTTGTGTGTCGAAATGGAAGGACAACAATTCGAGAACTTATTATAAGAGCATAGACTAAATAAAAATGTTACTTAATAATGTAGTTAGTGATTAAATTTTGTATCGATGAGGTGAAACTGTGAATATCAGTTTAGAACACATGAAAATGTTTGAAGTCGTTTTCCTCAGAAACGGTTCATTTTATTGTATCGTAACAAGAGATACTTTTTTAAATAATTTTTGATACTCTTTAACATGGTTCAAATTTATAAAGCGGTGAAAACAAAAAAGTTGTGGGCCGTACTCGTAGATCGAAGATTAAGGTCAGCTTAGGCCATTTGGCACCGGAGTATTTGCATCATATTTGGAACATAAATCTACAAGGGCACTAGTAATACATAGGAAAGACTTGGAAAATATCAAATCACAAATAAAAAAGTTATCTAAGAAAAACTAAAAAAAAATAATTTTTTGACACCCTGTATTTCTGTCAATATTGAGTTTTCGAAAAATTGTTATAGGACTTTGTGACCTTAAATTTTGTGAGGAATCACCTCCTGAAGTATTGACGCATAATTTCCGGACACCCTGTATAATAAACAAATTAACTTTGTTGAAGAATTTAAAAGCGCGTATACATAAAACGAACAAACGTATACATTCAAAAGATCATCGAATGTAGTAGAATGTGTAGCGAACTCGGACGAATTTTTCATTGTTTTATAAAAGTTTCGGTTGTGGTGTAACCTTTTAGCGTTTCCAAGATTGTAGGCTAATGCCGCACCCTGCAAATAATTTTTATTCCTCGAATTTGTTTCATTTTTTTACCACGTAACGTTACCTTACTAACCTTCGTTACATAGGCTAGATGAATGTATGCAGCTTAGGTGATATTACAACGTATACATAAAAAAAAATGTTTACTATTCTTGGTTCGTTGTACATATACATGTGCGTTAAAGTTTCTCTGAAGTAGATGTCTGTAGAATAAGCAATTGGATGTAAATTCTCATACTTGATTAATTTCTATTTATTAGTTAAATTATTGCAATAATATCGGATGTCCCAAAATTCACTTAAGAATTGAATTATGCGTTACAGTATTGCCAAAAAAAGAAGACAGCATGACAGCTGGGTTATTAAAAATGAAGCACTAAACGAAAGAACAACGCGTTTTCATTGTTGAGCAATATGTTTAAAATAATGAAGGTTTGGCAGGCAGCTACAGATCGCAATTTTCGTTCCAAAATATGGAAATTTAACTTCATCAGCTGTGAAAATTCAGGGAGACTGGATCAATTAAACACTCTAGTTCGTGAAAATGTTGCTGGGAGTCTAGGAGCATCAAGTCGGCACCTTGAACAAGAATTTGACATTTCGAGTAGCTCTCTACAGCGTATTCTCATGAAAGATTTGCATCTTCGTGCTTACAAGGTTCAATTGTCTCAAGAACTGTACCTACTGACCACGCAGAACGAAGAGAGTTCGTTGAATGGATTATGGAACAAGTGGATGCTGATTTTTCAAATAAAATCATCTTCAGCAGTGAGACACATTTTTTTCTTAATGGCTTCGTTAATAGACAAAATTGTCGCATTTTGGGTTCAGAAAGTCTACGAGTGACTGTTAAAAAACAAATGCATCCACAACGTGTCACTTTTTGGTGTGGATTTTGGTCTGGTGCCATCATCGGGCCATTCTTCTTAGAAAATGTGGCTTGTCAGGCAATAACAGTTAATGGTGCTCACTATTATTAGATACATAACAATCCAATTTTCTGTGCTTAAATTGCAAGATTTGGATGTAGACGACGACGTGTAGTTTCAACAAGAGGGTGCTACATGCCATACAGCCCGAGAAACAATTCAATTACTTCATGAGTCATTTCCTGGTCGTGTAATTTCCCGTTTTGGTGTTCAGAATTGGCCGCCCAGATCATGCGATTTATCGTCGTTACACTTTTTTCTTTGGGGTTTTTAGAAATTTAAGGTTTATCCCAACAAGCCTACGACAAACCCAAATAAATTTACAATTTTTAATTAAAAACCTGTGTTTCCTGTTAAAATTACTTCTTGCGTGAATTTTGGGACACCCTTTACCACATATAAAGTAGTATCACTTAAATATTGATCAACTGATATCAAATACTATACTAACCTTTACCATATAAATATATGTAAGACATATCGCCACAGGATAAACTGGATTTGCTATTAAAAACCATTTTGCTGTTCTACGATCTTAAACATGAATAATGTATGTAAAATTTAACCTTCGTCCAATTGTCTGTAGTATAATCGTTTTTATTGCATACATGTATGTCTTTAATTTTTTTAAAGTACATGCTTCCTTCGACAGCTCAATTAAATGATTTAACATGCCTAATTCTAAGAGTTAGTTGCACAAAATGTGTACGGTATAGAGGGTAGCCCATCGAAAACGTACCGCAAGGCATTACAAAGTAGTAATGAACTTTTCGGCAAAATCCAAAAACAGGTAAAGTTTGCTTCTGAGGGGGACTATTTTGGCGCAAAAAGCATAGCAAAATCTTCAACCCCCTAAGTGGGGGTGCCATCCCCCAAATTTTCTTAAATGGGAATGGGGGTCAAGCGGGGGGTCATTAGAAAGGGCTTTTAATTCTCTATACATCGATTCTTACTTTTTGAAAATCGATCCATTATTTTAGAAAATATGCAGCTTTGAAAATACGAACAATATTTTTGACGAGAAATGCGAAAATCGATTTAATTTTACTTCAAAACTTACGGTATTAGCTTGGTAAATTCCTTCAAAAGAATTCGCTGTTTTTTTTTTTGATTTGCGAATTCTTTAGCCTGATTTTGGTGAGCAAAAAATTGTCCGCTTTTTGTTTCGTATTTAGATAGGCCACAAGAAGTTGCTAGATAACTGTCTTGTGACTTGTAGTTGAAGAGTACCAATACTGCCGAGTCTTTTAAATTGATTAATTATGGTGTACTCAATTCCAGAAAGAGTAGAAATTATTGAGCTTTTTTTCAAAAACAATGAATGCGGAAATCGGGTCGCCGAACTGTTCAACCAACGGCATCCTGAGAAACATGCGTCTGGAAAAATTGTTCGCGAATTGGTGGCCAAATTTCGCGAAACTGGCTCCGTTCATAACAAAAAGAGGCAGGTTGAAAATCCGGTACTAAATGAACCTACGGAAATAGCGGTATTGGGGCAAGTGGCAATGGATAGTACGCTGAGTACAATGCAATTGGCTACTGCGACAGGAGTGAGTCGTACAAGTGTCCAACGAATATTAAAAAAATACAAATTCCATCCTTATAAGATTCGGCTAGTGCAAGAGCTAAATGAAGACGATTTTGATCGTCGTTTGCAATTTTGCGAAATAATGACTGAACGAGCGATAAACGATAATTTCCTCTTTAATGTGTGTTTTTCGGACGAGTGTACGTTCTTCTTGAATGGTTTAGTGAATCGCCATAATTGTCGTTACTGGGCTGATACCAATCCAAGGATTTTCCATGAGACACACTCCCAACACCCCCAGAAGTTGAATGTATGGGCAGGTATTTTTGGAAATTCCATTGTAGGTCCTTTTTTCCTTCCTGGAAATTTGACAGGCGATATGTACTTGGATTTACTACAAAATGTCATCGACCCAGCTCTAACAAATATCATAGAGGACGACCCTGCTTACAATGAACACGAACTGATTTTCCAGCAAGACGGAGCTCCTCCACATTACTCGCTCAATGTGCGCAATTACCTAAATGAGACGTTTCCAGGACGCTGGATAGGACGAAGAGGTGCAATTGAGTGGCCCCCTCGGTCACCCGACTTAAATCCTTTAGATTTCTTTCTCTGGGGGCACATTAAAAGCAAAGTTTACAGCACTCCACCTGATACCTTGGAAGATCTGCGAGGACGAATCATTAATGTATGTCGCGAAGTAACACCGCAAGTGCTCCAGAATGTTCGACAACGGTTTGAAGACAACCTGTATCATTGTATGCAAGTTGGCGGACAACATTTTCAGCATTTACTTGACTAATACCGTAAGTTTTGAAGTAAAATTAAATCGATTTTCGCATTTCTCGTCAAAAATATTGTTCGTATTTTCAAAGCTGCATATTTTCTAAAATAATGAATCGATTATCAAAAAGTAAGGATCGATGTATAAAGAATTAAAAGCCCTTTCTAATGACCCCCCACTTGACCCCCATTTCCTTTTAAAAAAATTTAGGGGATAGCACCCCCACTTAGGGGGTTGAAGATTTTGGTATGCTTTTGAGCCAAAAGTTGTCCCTCTCAGAAACAAATTTGACCTGTTTTTGGATTTTGTAGAAAAGTTCTTTACTACCCTGTAATGCCTTGCGGTACGTTTTCGATGGGCTACCCTGAATACACTACTTATGATGTATCGAAGAAAATTTGATACCATTTTTATCTTGTTAGTTATATTAAATATAGTTCTCATTGTTTTAAAAAGCTTTAGTCAAACTAAATTCGATAACACTAAATTCTATTATACTAAAACTAAATTCGATTATATGTAGGTAAGCTAGATATCTATAAAACATGTGACATTTTTAACAAGTTATATATAATGAGATGTTGAATAAGTTCTCGCTGTCTTTTCGTGAAAATTAATGTTTTGTTTAAATATAGTAAAAAACGTCACTGAATGTATTGTCCATCGCTACCCACTACATTTGCTCATCTTTCTGGTAACATTTCAATTCCACATTGGAAAAACGACACGTATTTTAAGTCGACCCATCTTTTGGTCTCTTCATAAGAGGCTACTCAGCCAGACCATATGCCATCAATCGGAACAAATGGTAATCAGTAGAGACAATGTCTGGTGAATATGGCGGATGGAGTAGGACTTTTCATTTAAGCATTTCCAAATGCAAAGCAGAAGCTTGGAACCTTGGATATACGGCTTTGCCGACAATGTTGACGGATGGCGCAGCTTGCCCCACGATTTTCTATGTTTAGGATTATCATAGCGTATCCATTTTTAATAATAATAAATGTCTTTATTAGAAAATGTATACATAAGCAGGTACAAATACATTTCCTAAAGGCGGAGTCTGGCCGTGGCTAATCTACTCAACCATTTAGAAGACTACAGTTACATCAATACAGCTTTATATACGAATTTCTACATTACATCTTAAAATAAAAAAACATATACTAGTACAGGTACATATATACTTAAATTACAATACAACAAAATTTAATTTAATTTAATGGTGAAGTCAAGCGTATAAAAAAAGAAAAGAAAAAAGTTGAAATGATCAATCGCCAGGAAATAAAAGAAAAAGAAACAAAAACAGTTAAAATGTTTGTTGAAATAGAATGAGTTCAACCTTGACCTTCTTACGAAATTTGACTACTGAACATAGTTTTACATCATCTCTTATATTATTATAAATTTTAACCGCATTGTAAATAAAAGATGCACGAAACTTGGCTAAACGATGCGCAGGCAAACATAAATTATTTGTACATCTCAAAATTCTACCATGAACGTTTTTCATCGCCATTTACGATACGATGCAAAAAACATTTCCTTTTCTGCATTCGAAGCAGCTGCTCACTGCAGAGACGCTATTCAACTGTGGTGTGTTACACTACTAATGATTCTGCAAGTTCAGCTAGCGTCTGAAATGAGTCTTCATAAAGTAATGCCACCAATTCTTCATCTTCAAACTGTTTTGGTGCGCCAAAGCGTTCTTTATCTTCAACATTAATATCCACCAATGATATTAATAAGTACATTAATTTGATCAAATTTCACTCAGCTGGTTCTGACTATATCTCTGTTAACATGCTCAAATTGATTGCAGAACATTTATTAAATCACCTTACTTATATAATTAATACATCCATTTTAACTCACACTTTTCCCAGATGTTGGAAAAATGCTAGTGTTATTCCGTTGCCGACAGTACCTAATGCTACCGATCTAAATCATCTTCGAACTATTAGTATCTTGCTTACCATCTCCAAAGTTCTCGAAATGGTTATGAAAATACAAATGTCGCAGTTTGTTTTTGATAATGACATTATCCCTTCCTTTCAGTCCGGCTTTAGGTCCCAGCACAGTACGACTACTGCTTTAGCACATAATTCAGATGAAATTTATAACGCCACTGATAATGGTTTAATTACGTCCTTGATTCTTTTAGATTATAGCAAAGCGTTCGACACATTGGACCACTCTATCCTTTGTAAAAAGTTAACGTACTTTGGCTTTGATAATAGTGCTGCTTCCTAAATTTTTAGTTATTTTTCTGGCAGAACACAGCAAGTAATCATAAACGCTAATGCGTCTGACGTCTTGACAATGACTCATGGGGTTCCTCAGGGGTCCATTTTAGGGCCCTTGCTGTTCTCTATTTATATAGCGGATTTTTATACATTTTTTAATAAATGTTCTGTGCATCATTACGCTGGTGATACCCAAGTGTTTCTCAATTGTCGTGTTACGGACTTGGCTGCTTTTAACGATTGTATTAATTACGACTTAAACTCATTGTTAAATATCTCTGCTGCTCATAGATTGAAGCTAAATCCTGACAAATCTAAAGTCATAATTTTTGGTCCCAAAAATAAACGTATTATGGCGAAAATGGAATTGAATTTAAAATTAGAAGATATTTCTTTAAATTTTACCAATGAGTGTAATAACCTGGGACTTTGGTTTGATGAGGAGCTAAGATATACCAAGCATGTAAACAATCTGTGTCGATCATCGTATAATACCTTAAAGCAACTTTATCCCCATTATGGATTCATCTCTAAAAATCAGTTTATGTAAAATCTTTAATATTTTCAAAGCTCTCATACTGTGACTATATCTATGGCCCGGCTCTACTACACTCCGATATTTAACGTTAGCAGCGAATTCAAAATAGTTGTTTTAGATTTGCATATGAAATAGAAAATTTGAACGAGGAATTACTGAGTTAATTAAGAAACATAATTTTCTTAATCTTTCGTACTCTCGTAAGTTGCACTCTTTATGTTTAACTCATAAAATTCTTCAGCAAAAATGCCCTGTATACTTACATGAAAAATTTAAGTGGCTTCATAAAGCCACTTCGACGTTTAATCCTCGTTATTCGCGTTTATTAGAAATTCCTCGCTACGCCACTGCCCTGTATACCAGAAGATTTATCTATCACGCCTGTATAGAA